TATGATAAAATAATCCACGTTCATTCAATGCTAAAGTATTATTTGGATTAATTTCTAATGATTTGTTTAAATCTATAAGCGATTCCTTATCTTTTCCTATATATTGATAAATTACTCCACGGATTCTTAATATTTCGGCATTGGTTGGATAAAATTCTAATAATCTATTGAAGTCTGCAAGCGATTCTTCATATCTACCCATCATTTTATAGGTAAGTCCACGGTAATTAAATGCTTTATAGTTATTAGGCTTAGGCTCAATATCTATTGATTTATTTAAATCCGCAAGTGATTCATCATACCTACTCATCTCCTGATAAGTTAGTCCACGATAATTCAATGATAAGGTATTATTTGGATCAACTTCTAGTGATTTACTTAAATCTGCGAGCGATTCTTCAAATCTGCCCATATAATGATAAGTTGAACCACGGTAACTAAATGCGGTAGCATTATTAGGATTAATAGCCAATGATTCATTTAAATCTGCAAGCGATTCTTCATATTTGCCTAAATGAAGAAAGAGCATTCCACGAACGCACAACACTAAATAATCACTTGAACCTGTTTCTACAAGTTCATTTAAATATGCAAGCCAAGACGATGCAATGATATTATTTGAATCTGCTTCTAGTATTGCATTTAACCGTTTAAGAAATTCTTCGTATCTGCCTAGCATGAAATTTATTATCATCCATGTTGTCGTTAAAAAGTTCTTAAAAAAACTAAGATACCTGAAATGTATAAATGCTGAAATTTAAGCCTTGGTATTTTTAACTCCAATGAATTTAAATACCCACCATTTTATTTTATTTATAAAATCCATCATGGTCGACCAAATTTCGAATATTATGATCAAATATTATAATACCGGAAAGAACTAATTCAATCCGAATATCGTCACCAACTATTATTTATCGAAAATCGACGTTGAGTATGGCAAATAATACTACTGTATTTACTCACGTACGTAAGTACATATATATTTTTCTTAGTTGGACAAATAACACAGCTACGTACGTACGTACTACGTATTTAAAAATCATTTCCTAATATATTTGAGGTTTAACATTAATTACCATACTAATACTAGAATCAGAATCGGTTTATTAATTTTTACTCCAAACATTGAAAAGTCGAGCAGGTATTAACCGATATACTTCTTTGTAATTATAAACACAGGTAGAATCGACAAATATTCTTTCAAATACATTTAGTATGATATGCAACCTTTCTAAATGTCTTCTAAATATTTTCAAACTTTTAAATTACCTGCGAAAGAGATACAAAAATATTTGGAAAAGTTGCATTTCACATCAAAGATTTTTTGAAAGAATACTTGTAAAAAAGGTTTATTGTTCTACTTGTGGAATATCCTTTTGCTTGTAATTATATTAAAGATTAATGTCTTGTTTGCAACTAACTCTAATAGCAACTTTTATTAGGCATTATCAGCACCATACGGTTGCATGCGCGTTATTCGAATAACAACTCTCATTCATACCATAATTCAAAAATACACCTTTGCATTACAGTGCGGTGCTGAAGATATTGTGGTCTAGCTTTTCAACCTAGCCAGTACTTATCTCTTTTTATTATAAAAATGACTAAAAATTGGATCATAATATTCTGATTAATATAAGCTGTTTGTTTAGTACCAACAATAATAATTCACTACATTCTAGAGCCGTATAAACAGATTATTTCTAAAATGGAAGATCATAATTCTCACATTACGGAAAGTCTTGATTCTATCGTTAATGAAGTAGAAGAATTTAATTTTCCCATTACGAAAGCACTTGGCTCCCTCACTGATAAAATAAAGGATATAAATTTTTTAAATAGTAGTCTTGGGTTTTTGAACATTATGAAGATGACCCCAAGGCTGCGTTCGAATGTTATTTAAGATCTGCAGAAGATGATAATTCCGACGGGCAGTACAATGCTGGCAGATGCTATTACAATGGCATAGGTACTGACAAAAACGAAAAGAAAGCACTTGAGTGGTTTTTAAAAGCAGCAAAAAGCGATAACTCTGAGGCACAATATGCTGTTGGTGAATTCTATGAGAAAGGCATAGGCATTATGAAAGATGAAAAGAAGGCGTTTGAATGGTATTTGAAATCAGCCGAAAATGGTAATCATGCTGGACAATTTAATGTCGGACACTTTTATAATTTGGGGATAGGCATCACTAAAGATGAAAGAAATGCTTTTTATTGGCATTTGAAATCTGCCGAAAACGGATATGCCGAGGGACAATACAACGTTGGTCACTTTTATAGAAAGGGTATTGGCACTAACATAGATGAAAAAAAGGCTTTTAAATGGTATCTAAAATCAGCTGAAAACGGACATCCTCTCGGACAGCATAACGTTGGGTTTTCTTACCAACACGGCATGGGTATTCCCAAAGATAAAGGAAAAGCATTTGAATGGTACTTGAAATCTGCTGAAAACGGATATTCTGGTGCACAAGTTAACCTTGGTGTTTTATATTCAAATGGTATAGGTGTTGACAAAGATGAAAAAATAGCATTTATATGGTATTTGAAAGCTGCAGAGAACAATAATTCCAAAGGACAAATTCAAGTTGGAAATTGCTATCAATATGGATTAGGTACTGTTAAGGATGAAAAGAAAGCATTTGAATGGTACTTGAAATCCGCTCAAAGTGGTAACCCCGTTGGGCAACATTTAGTTGGATTGAGCTATGAAAGAGGCAGAGGAACAGAAAAGAATGAAGGGAAAGCATTCCAATGGCACTTAAAATCCGCTAAAGGTAACGACACCCAAGGACAATTTAGGGTAGGGGAATGCTATAGAAATGGTGTGGGCGTTGAAAAAGACGAAAAGAGAGCATTTGAGTGGTATTTAAAGTCTGCAGAACGTGAGGATCCTTTGGGACAATATGAAGTCGGTGCGTGCTATCGACATGGCACAGGAATTGCCAAAGATGATAGGAAAGCGTTTGAATGGCATCTTAAATCTGCTGAAAACGGGGAGATTTTGGCACAATTCAATCTTGGAACGTTCTATAAATCTGGTATAGGTACTTATAAAGATGAAAAGAAGGCAATTACATGGTATTTAAAATCTGCTGAGGGTGGATTTCAAGCTGGACAATATGAAGTTGGCTTATGTTATCGAAATGGCAATGGGACATTGCAAAACCAGAAAGAGGCTACTAAGTGGTTACAAAAAGCGAATGAAAATGAAGCCTCAAAAATTTCGATGCTCGAAAATAATAATGAAACAAAAGTGTCATTATTTGAAACTATTAGTGGTGATTTTAATATTGATTATTTTCTAAAAACATCACTAAATGAAAATAATTGTCCGTTGTTATGGATTCCATTTAATGAAATAACAATTATGCTAGAAATTGGTAAGGGAGGATTTGCAACTGTTTATTCTGGTTCGTGGAATATTAATAATAGTTATATGAATGAAATAAGGCCTGTTGCGCTTAAGTTGCTTCATGGATCGAGGAATTGTAGCGAGGATCTATTAATTTCTATTAATTAATTGTTACGTGTTTTATATATATTAATGTTGCAATTTTAAGTTAAAGGTATACTACAATATTGGAAACCATAATCCAACGTTTTTAAAATGTTATGGAATATCAAGATTTGAAAACAATGGCGATTATATTATGGTCATGCAATGTGCAAAGCTCGGGTCATTGCGTCAAAATCTTAATTTAATTGCAAAAATGAAATGGAATGATTGAGTGAATTTGCTGTCATATATAGCCAATGAACTTCAATTAATTCATTCTTGTGATATTATTCATTGTGACCTACACAGTGGAAATATATTACAGGATGATTTACACTGTGCATATATTGGTGATCTAGGGCTTGCCACTTCAGTCAATAAAGCATTGATGACAAATTCTGATGAAATTTATGGAGTTATGCCATATGTTGCACCCGAAGTTTTGCGTGGAAATCCATTCACAAAGGCTTCAGATATTTATTCTTTTGGGATGATTATGTGGGACATCTTTTCGGGTAAGCAGGCATTTTCTGATATGCGACATGATGAGTTTCTTAAAATTAAAATATGCGAAGGAGAAAGGCCAACTGCTGATGAAGAAGAAACAACACAATTATATGCTGAACTTATGAAAAGATGTTGGGATAATGAACCAGAAAACAGACCATCAGCCATGGAAATTTGCAAAATTTTGGAAAATTGGAAGAAAGAAGCAGAAATTTTGGCTGAATTTACAAAATTAGATGAAAAAATTGATAAAAAAAAAAGAAAAAAAATGGTTACTGAAAGGATAAAAATCTTTAATACAGCTTGCAATATTGTTGATATTTTTATTAAATGTTATAGGAAGTGTTGATAATAATCCCTCATTAAAATTGGAAATATTGACAGAAACACTTCAATTACACGAAATTATCAGCAACCCATTAACTCCCTTAGATTGTTCAGAATTTGGATCTGGTGAAAAGATTGAGATCTTAAGAAAATGTATAGAAGATCTAACGAAATTGGAACTTTTCGAAATTGATAAAAATATCAAAGACGTTAATAATGTGCATCCTGATGCAAGTTACATGAGTCGATGTATCAGCAATGATACTAAAATTATAGAAGACACAGAATTTTTGGAGTTACATGCAGAATGGGTCTCTAACTAAAATGCTTAATAAATAGAAGTATTCGAATATAATGTTAACTTGCACTGTAAATTAAACACTGAATTAATAATTCTGTGTTTAAACTTGATGTTCGAGTTATCATCTTATTATGACAAAGCCAACAGAAGTGTATGTAGCTTTGCAGCCTGATCTATGCACTATTGTACCAGTGTTGTACCTCTCAAACCCGATATGCATGGTAGATAGAGTTTGTATTTGTATAGAGAGATTATCAGATTTGAAATCATCGTAAACTACTAGATTTATACAACGGAAACAGATTTGGTGGATTAATTTTTTTTATCAGATTTACCAGGTTATCGATTTTGATAGGATCGGTTTGTGACGCACTATTTTTTTAAAAAAATATTTTATTGATAAGATTGCTTTGAACTATCAAAATAAAATTATTTAATATGATTTAAATTAAACATATTTAGTAAGCAGAAGATTTAATTAAAGATAAATTTATTCT